AAAAAAAAAAAAGAAAATGTAACTAAGGACTGGGCATGGTGGCTCGTGCCTGTAATCCCAGCACTTTAGGAGGCTGAGGCAGACAGATCAGTTGAGGCCAGGAGTTCAAGACCAGCCTCGCCAACATGATAAAACCTTATCTCTGCCAAAAATACAAAGATTAGCTGAGTGTGGTGGTGCATGCCTGTAGTCCCAGCTACCAGGGAGGCTGAGGCCTGATAATTGCCTAAACCCAGAAGGTGGAGGTTGCAGTGAGCTGAGATCATGTCACTGCACTCCAGCGTGGGTGACAAGAGTGAGACTCTGTCTCACAAAAAAAAAAAAAAAAAAAAAAAAAAAATAATTTAAAAAAAAAAAAAAAAAAAAAAAAGAAAATGTAACTAGGATATTTACAAAATTTCTGTTAACCTGAGTTGAAGATTGGAGTTTTTTGCCTTTAAAACCTGTTTTCCATCCTGTCCCATCTACCCAGGGAACCCTCTGACTGTTAAGGAATGAAACACTCGACATTTAGCTTTAAAAAATATTGTAGCCTCTTAAAATGAATTAAAGATAGGATGAGTCCTCAGGCATTTAGATTCTTTTTCTCCTTTTTTTCCTTTTCTTTCTTTTCCTTTTTTGATCCTTTTCTCTGAATTGCAAAGAATAATTATTAGTCGAGATCAGTCTTTTTAATAATATGCATCAATTGCAAGCAACATTGAATCCTCTTGTTCAGTGTGATCCAGCAAATGCTTATTACACACCCACCTTATTCTCAGTGTTAGGCTTAGCTTGGCACAGAGCAAGAATTTCCTGTTCCTCTTAATTATTCCCAGATGGCATCCGCAGATTCCTGTTTCTAACCACCAAATCACTGTTCTGGTAGAAACACTCCTGTCTTGTGACCTCTAAATTACACACTCTCTCCATCTGCACTGATTTGAGATGCAGTTGCCACTTTTCTGTTGCTTCAGAGATGCCTGCATTGATGCCGTCTGGGTCTGAAGATGGTCCTGTTGGGCAGATATTTCAGGCGTGCAGGTGGGACTGAAAGATCAGTCTAGGACTGCCCTCTTTCCTCTCAGCATACACATGAGCAGCTTTGTGTTTCCAGTAGCTGCATGCATGATAAGCTTCCATTTGGCTTTGCTTCTGACCTTACAAACCAGCTGATGATGACAACACAGCAAGTCGTTCTGTTTTCCTAGATTCCACACACCTTTGTAATAGAAACCATGGTCACCGGATGCCACTGCTGAAACCACTAAACACCCAGAGATGGCAGTGATTATAAGAACATTAATTGTGGTCTGGGCACGGTAGCTCATGCCTGTAACCTCAGCACTTTGGGAGGCCAAGACAGGTGGATCACCTGTGGTCAGGGGTTTGAGACCAGCCTGAACAATATGGTGAAACTCCATTAGCTGGTCGTGGTGGTGTGCGCCTGTAATCCCAGCTACTTGGGAGGCTGAAGTAGGAGAATCGCGTTAATCGGGAGGCAGAGGTTGCAGTGATCAGAGATCTTGCCACCGTACTCCAGCCTGGGCGACAGAGTGAGACTCAATCTCAAAAAAAAAATACAAAAATTAGCCCAGTGTGATGGCAGGCACCTGTAATCCCAACTACTTTAGAAGGCTGAGGCAGGAGAATTACTTGAACCTGGAAGGTAGAGGTTGCAGTGAGCCAAGATTGCACCATTGCACTCCAGCCTGGGTGACAGAGCAAGACTCCGTCTCAAAAAAATAAAAAATAAATAAAGAACATTAATTGAGACAAAGACAGTAGCAATAATAGAATAATAACCAGATATTTCCATAACAATAGTATATGAGGAATGCTGTGCCAATGATAATTGATATTTTTCTATTAGTTATAGTTACTTTCCTCACCTCCTTCGGGTCTTTACCTACAAATCGCCTTCTCAGTGAGGCCTGCCCAGGCCTCCCAGTCAAAAATTATATCCTTTTCTTCAAAGATTTGATAACTTCTTTTCCCAGTTTATTTTTTCTTCTTAGCATTTGCTGTTAACAAATGTACCATATAATTTAGTTATTTGTTTTGTTCATTGTTTTTCTCCCCCACTGGTATGCCGGCTCCTTGGACTGATTTTTGTCTTTTAAATTTAAAATTATTATATAGTTAATGGGCGATAAAAGCACTTGCAATTTACTATATGCAGGCTAGAGTGCTAAGCCCTTACCTAGATTGTCTCATTTTGTCCTCTGACTCTTGCACCATGCAGCCCCTTCTCATTATTATTTGCTCTCAAGCATCTTTTCCCATACACACTTTCACAAAGAGTCTCTACTTTTTGCCCTCAGCTCACAGGCACCTCCCACCCCCCTGCAGTCTGGCTTTGTTATTGCTGCTCTGTGCAGACTCTTCCTTTTGTGTACCAGTGACATCCTAATTGCCATATCAAGTGATACACCTTTAGCCCTTAGGTTACTGATCCTTTCAGTTCACTACCTGCTTCTGAACTCTTGCCACATGCAATAACACACTCCTGGGTTTTTCTTTCTGCCTTTTCCTTCTCTTCCTCTGCACTCCTTTGTCAGGCCAGCCCACCATGCTCGTGTGTCCCTGCTTCTGTCTCCAGCATCTCCCTCATTTTGAGTTTTCTCCCAAAGCATTCCCATCCCTGCCTTGGGTTTCAGCTACACCCTAATGTCGGTAACACTCAGATCTCTCTCTAGCCCTTACTTTCCACCGCCTGCTTACATTTCTGCATGGGTTTCCTGAGGCTGTCAGTTTATTCAACACCTAGCCTTCCCCACGACCCACTGACATACAGGCCTGCTTTCCTGCCTTGGTTGATGACACCACAGTTCACCCCACCCGTGTGGGAAAGCTGGGAGTCAGTCATGAGTCCTCCCTCTTCAGGAGTCCCTGCAGAGGACAGCTGCTGGGCAGCTCTCTCATCTGCCTGTTCCACACCATCCCTACTGCAGCTCCTGCAGAAAGCTCTCACACTTTCCTCCTAGACCACAGTGGCGGCCATCTCTTAAATGAGAGATGTGAGAGTGTGAGAGCTCTGTTGGTAGAATTGCTTACAGGCCCCTCCTGTTGCTGTGCTCCGGCCAGAAGCTGCACAGGGCATGGGCTGATAAACACATCTACTCCCTGTGTTTTCCCAGGAGTGCGAAGGCTCAGCTCCACCTCAACATGGCTGCCAGGGGGCTGTCACTAATTTGACCAAGGGCATTGATTGCCAATGGTGGCTTAACCTGCCTCCCAGAGCAGGCACTACACTTTCACTAGGATTTCTGATTGCCTCAACTAAGACCCACTTCTGCCAGGGCTGTCAGCTGGTCCTAAAAGCATACCCGCTGCCATGGTGAGTGTGTGTTATTAAGCGCAATCTAAGCAGAAGAAAAGAGATGCAAAGAGGTAAAAATTGTAATCACTTGAAAATAGTGAGGATCTAACGTATATTACCAAAAAAAATTATGTGAGAAAATACAAGACAAGACGGAAAGGATCACAAAATGGAAACGAGATGGCAAAACTCGGACTAAAGAAGCTGGAGGGAACTATAGGGAGGGAGCTCAGGCAGTAAGAAGAGGGAGGAGCAAGCACTGAATTTAATATAAACCCGGGACATTGCTAGAATCCACCAGCAGGTGGCAGACCAGAAAAATGTCCCTTTTAGTCTCCCAGACTTGTTTTTAAGGCTTACTGTGAAATACAGAGAATAGTAAAGGAGAAAACAAAAATAATCTATAGATCCACCACCCAGATGGAACCACTCTTATTTCCCCCGTAGTCTTTCAAAATGCATATAGGGCCGAGCATGGGGATTCATGCCTATAATCCCAGCACTTTCGGAGGCTGAGGCGGACAGATCACTTGAGGTCAGGAGTTTGAACCCAGGAGGTAGCTACCTAGTGCCTCAGCCTCCCAAGTAACTGGGACTACAGGCGCCCTCCACCACACCTGGTTAATTTTTGTATTTTTACTAGGGACTGGGGTTTTACCATGTTGCCCAGGCTGGTCTCAAACTCTGCCTCGGCCTCCCAAAGTGCTGGGATTACAGGTGTAAGCCATCTTGCTTGACCCCTAACTTTTTTTTTTTTTTTTTTTTTTTGAGATGGAGTCTTGCTCTGTCACCCAGGCTGGAGTGCAGTGGCGCGATCTCAGCTCACTGCAGCCTCTGCCTCCTGAATTCCAGCAACTCTCCTGCCTCAGCCTCCTGAGTAGCTGGGATTACAGGTGCAAGCCACCATGCCCAGCTAATTGTTGTATTTTTAGTAGAGACAAGGTTCCACCATGTTGGTCAAGTTGGTCTCCAACTCCTGACCTCGTGATCCACCTGCCTCAGCCTCTCAAAGTGCTGAGATTACAGGCATGAGCCACCGCGCCCATCCTTGGCCCCCTAACTTTATATTACAAGCAAATCCTAATGCTCTTTAGAACTTTGTGAATGTCGTGTTTCATGACTGTCTGATGCTCCATTGTATTACTGTCCATACTGAATCTTCTGTATTGCCTCTTTCGTTGGTTTCCATTTAATTTTTAAGATGTAGATGGAATAATCAGTAGAGCTCTATCAAATTCAACTGGAGGCAAGGGTGGCCGGTTAGGGACGGAAACAGCTATTCAAGCTGATCTGCGAAGGTTGACCTGCACCAGTGGGTGGGAGACACAGGCTGCGCAGAGGCCTGAGCAACTCTGCACCTTTGACTGCGTTGTGTGGTGAAGGAAAGAAAAGAAAGGGTTTGACAGGACAATAGTTTTCTCTGAGAGGGTAAATGGGGGGTTGAGCGTGTGGCATGTTTGTAGACTGGGAAAGAAGCCTGGAGAGGGAGGAAGCCAGCAGTGAGGAAGTGAGGGTTCTGTGGGACAAGGCCCTGCAGAAGGTCTAGGAAGTAGGCTTAGAAGCCGTTGGAAAGCTCAGCTCCAGATGCAGAAGGAGCATTTCCTTCTCAGACAAAGAAAAGAAGCAGGGTGAGGAGGAAGAAAAAGTCCACTGCCAGTATCTCGGAGGGTGGGGCATGTTTATTGCATTTTGTACAAGAATGAATAATAAGGTGGACTTATATTTGGCTGTTTTTACACTTTTAAAAATTGCACTCAATTCAGTTGGAAAGGGTGATGTGATTTCGATTGAGAAAGAAACAAGATGGGAGTGAGGGCTGGCCTCTGCTGATTGTGGTGATGGCAGGAACTTGATTGGCCTGTGTGATTAGCCCATCCTGAAGCATTCCCAGAACCTGCCTCCTACCACCATGCTGAGAATGTGATTGCCTTGATACTGAGGACAGGCCTGCTCACTCCTGGGAAAACACAGAGAGTGGATGTGTTTATCGGCCCATGCCCTGTGCAGCTTCTGGCCTGAGCACAGCAACAGGAGGGGCCTGTAGGCATTTCTACCAACAGGTGCCTTTCCTGGCTTCAGCATGGGTGAACCAGTCTCTTTTTCCTTCTTCCTACTCTGGAAGGCCCAGCACATCCTCAAGGGGAGTGACACCCTGGGGGCATTTGAAACAACATTTTAAAAATAGCAGTGGCCCTGCGAGGTGGCTCACACCTATAATCCCAGCATTTTGGGAGGCCAAGATGGTCAGATCGCTTGAGGTCAGGAGTTCGAGACCAGCCTGGACAACATGGTAAGACCCTGTTGTTACAAAAAACACAAAAATTTAGCTGCACATGGTGTGCCTGTAGTCCCAGCTACGTAGGAAGCTGAAGTGGGAGAATTGCTTGAGCCCAGGAGGTCAAGGATGCAGTGAGCTGTGATTACACCACTGTATTCCAGCCTGGGTGACAGAGCAAGACCGTTTTGGGGAGAAAAAAAAGAAAAAAAAAAGCAGTAGGGAGCAAATGAGGACTGGCTGGTGCCTGGGCAGAGTCACAGGGAGAGGCCCAGAGCCAATGCTGACCTCATTGTGTGGGTACACTGGGGGCCTCTGCGAAGGGGTCGGTGAGGAGCTGGACAAGGATCAGAGCAGGTTTGAGAGAGAATTGGAAAGCAGGGCCTGGAGCTGGAAAATGAAGCAATGGAGAGGGATATGGATTGATTTTTTTTTTTTTTTTAATGGAGCAGATTACAGTTTATAGACTGACTGCTGAGAGAATGCTCCAACAGACGGGAAGTGAGGAGGAAGAATGAACCTAATGTCCATATGAAGCACCTAGAGTCTTGTTAAAATGTAGATTCCTTCAAACCTAGGGATCCTGAAAAAAATGCAGATTCCCGCAGGAAGGGGTGGAAGGGTGCTGGGCCGGTCAAAAAACTACCTACTGGATACCATTCTCACTGCCTGAGTGAGGTGATCCTTACTGCAGACCTCAGTATCATGCAATACAGCCACGTAACAAACCTGCACATGTATCCCCTGTATTTAAAATAAAAGTTGAAATTAGAAAATTTTTAAGATGCAGATTTCCCCCCTCCCCTGGCAACCCCAGCTTGCTTCCAGGAGCAGCCATAGAGTCCCTGCTCTGCAGACCACATTGAGTAGATTCTTGTGCACGAGGCGAAATGTTTGTGTTTACTCTGCCGGTTCCTCCCCAGCCTCAAGAGGAAAGCCAAGCAGAAGGGCACAGAGCAGGAGCTGGCGCACTTGGTGCTGGGAGACACCAAGTGTCTCCTAGGTGCTTCATCTTCCCAGTGAAATAGGAAAGCAGGTGATCAGCCGATAGTGAGGACACAGTCTGGGAGGTCTGAGGAGTTAGGGGAGCAGAGACCTGGGCAGTGCTTCTCAGGCTACCACCGTCTGAACACAGGTGGCTGCGTAGCCCCAGGGGGCTGGGCCTATAGGTCCAGGGTAGAGTGTAGGAATTTGCACTTTTGTTCTTTTCCTTTCTGTAACAGTTTTATTGAGGTATAATTGTTATACAAATCTTCAAATTCTTGATGTATACAGTTTGCTGAATTCAGACATATTTGTGCATCCAGGAAACTATCACCACAGTCAAAGCAGTAAACACATCCCTCGCCTCCAAAAGCAGGGCATCCAATCTTTTGGCTCCCCTGGGCCACATTGGAAGAAGAATAACTGTCTTGAGCCACACGTAAAATACACTAACAGTAAGGATAGCTGACGAGCTATCCTTAAAATCTCACTGTTATAAGAATGTTTACAAATTTGTGTTGGGCCACATTCAAGCCACCTGGGCCACGGGTTGGACAAGCTTATCCAAAAGTTTCTTCCTGCCCCTTTGCTTTTTTTGGCTTTTTGTGGTACGAATGTGAACTTTTAATATGAGGTCTGCCCTCTAACTTTGTGAATGCACAGCACAGTAACAGTCATTGCAGGTGGCATGCTGCCCACCCATCTAGAGGACTGATTCTTCTGGCACAGGGGAAACTTGATCTGAATTGAGGGCAGCTCCCCTTTCCCTCTCCTGGGGGATTTGCATGTCTCCCAGTTCCCAAGTAATGCTGGTGTGGACGCTGCTTTGGGGAGGCCAAGTGTTGAGAACCCATGGAGTCAGGGACGTGGAGGGATCACCGGCTGTATAAGGGCAGCTGAGGGTCTCTGCCTGAAGTTTTCTCCAACACAGTCAGCTGCTCTGGGATAGTAGGTGGAAAGTTAGAATTCACTAGGATGGAGACTTTTCCAGGCAAACAGAGCAAAAGGGTCATTTAGCACTATGTCTGGTACAGGGGAAATGCCCAAAACACACAGCTTTTTACTATCTAGCACCAGCCTCTCCTTCCCTCCTCTCTTCCAACTACATGGGAATCTCCTTCTCTGACTGCACAATATATAGAGCCAGGCCTTGTGGCCAGCAGCCCTGAGTCCAGCTGTGGGACCTTGCACTAGCTGCTTGCCCTCTCTGAGCTTCAGCTTCATCTGTAAACTGAGATGATAATAACTTTCTTCACAGAGTTGCTGGGAGCCTGAGTAAGACATGGCATCTTTCACTTTTCGGCTCAGAGAAGGCCAAGTGCAACTTTCTTTAGTCATCCTGAAGCTGAGTTCAACTGACCCCAGCGCGCCCTACATTTGACCCCAGCAAGATCAAAGTTGTATATCTGAGGTACACCAGTGACAAAGTCAGTGCCACATCTGCGCTCGCTCCCAAGGTCAGCCCCCTGGGTCTGTCTCCAAAAATGGTTGTTGATGGCATCACCAATCATTGATTGGAAGGGTCTGAGGATGACAGTGAAACTGACCAGCCACAACAGACAGGCCCGGAGTGAGGTGGTGCCTTCCACCTCTGCCCTGATCATCACAACCCTCAGAAATCACCAGTAGACAGAAAGAAACAAAAAAACACAGTGGAAACACCACTTTTGATGAGATTATCAACATTGCCAACAGATGCAGCACCAGTCTTTTTAGCCAGAGAACTCTCTGGAACCATTAAAGAATTCCTGGGAACTGCCCAGTCTGTGAGCTGTAATGTTGATGGTATCGCAGATGATACCAACAGTGGAGCAATGGAATCCCCAGCTACTTAAAAAGTGCAAAGGAAAATATTTTAAGACAGGGTTATCTGATAACCAAAAAAAAAAAAAGACATTGCATCTAAGCCACTTAGCACTGTGTCTGGTGTGTAGCAAATAATAAATGTCAGCAATTCTCAAAGAACCCAGGAATAGAAAGCATTTAATAAAAAATTAGCTCTTGGGGCCGGGCGCGGTGGCTCAAGCCTGTAATCCCAGCACTTTGGGAGGCCGAGGCGGGTGGATCACGAGGTCAAGAGATCAAGACCATCCTGATCAACATGGTGAAACCCCGTCTCTACTAAAAATACAAAAAATCAGCTGGGCATGGTGGCGCGTGCCTGTAATCCCAGCTACTCAGGAGGCTGAGGCAGGAGAATTGCCTGAACCCAGGAGGCGGAGGTTGCGGTGAGCCGAGATCACGCCATTGCACTCCAGCCTGGGTAACAAGAGCGAAACTCCTTTCCAAAAAAAAAAAAAAAATTAGCTCTTGGCATAATCTCTTCATGCCCAGCAGAGCAGTCAAACATCTTTCAGATTCACAAGAATTAATTTCTCCTCCCCTGTTCCTGCTTTGCACGTTGTAGCAGTCATCACATGGTTCACCTTAAGTTAGAGAACTATTTATGTATGTGGTAGTCAAGGCCACTGAGTCTTGTGTCCCTGGAGGTGAGTTACTTTTTTTTTTTTTGAGACAGAGTTGCTCTGTCTCCCAGGCTGGAGTGCAGCGGTGTGATCTCGGCTCACTGCAAACTCTTTCCCCCAGGTCAGGTGATTCAGGGGGAAACACTTGATCTGAATTGATGAATTCAGACATATTTGTGCACCCAGGAAACTATCACCACAGTCAAAGCAGTAAACACATCCCTCACCTCCAAAAGCAGGGCATCCAATCTTTTGGCTTCCCTGGGCCACATTGGAAGAAGAATAATTGCCTTGAGCCACACATAAAATACACTAACACTAAGGATAGCTGACGAGCTTTAAAAAAACACCTCACTGTTGTAAGAATGTTTACAAATTTGTGTTGGGCCACATTCAAAGCCACGTGGGCCATGGGTTGGACAAGCTTGTCCATCTTAGTGAATTCTAACTTTCTACCTACTATCCCAGAGCAGCTGCCCGTGGTGGAGAAAACCTCAGGCAGGGACCCTCAGCTGCCCCTATACAGCCAGTGATCCTGCCACATCCCTGGCTCCATGGGCTCTCATGGGTCCCTGCCTCAGCCTTCCGAGTAGCTGGAATTACAGGCTCCCACCACTATTCTCGGCTAATTTTTGTATCTTTAGTAGAGACAGAATTTCGCTGTGTTGGCCAGGCTGGTCTCGAACTCCTGACCTCAGGTGATCCACCTGCCTCAGCTTCCCAAAGTGCTGGAATTACAGGAGTGAGCCACTGTAACCAGCATGGGTCCTACTCACAAACCCCAGAAGGCTGTGCACAGCTCCTACATGTGGTACACCTTCAAGGAATTATCCATGGATTTGAATAAGGTTATATATGATGTCATGTACTTTATTCCATTTTTAGTGAGTTTATATTCTAAAATATTTGCTCCTGGTGAAAAATCAGACAGTACAAATAAGATCATTTATTCCAAGTAGGATCATGTAATCCATACTCTCGCAACTTTTAACATAGTGCATTGTTCATTCTTTTTGTTTTGTCATTTCTATTTTCTTATTAGTTCTTAAAGATCTACTTCATTCTTTTTAACTTTGCGTAATGGTGCATTCTTTCTGATAGTCCATCTTTCAGATGTGCCACAATTTGGCTAAGCTGCTTCCTACTTCTGGACGTTTTAGGACATTCTGGGGTGTTTTAAGTTATTATAAACAGCTGTGCCATGGATACATCTTTGTGTCCTTCTGTGAATGACCAGAAGGTAAATTCCTAGAAGCAGATGAAAGGATCTGTGCATTTTTTTAGGTTGCTAACTGTATCAGTCACAGTTCAGTTAGCTGAGAGTAGCATTCATTCCATCCAGCTAACATAGAAGATTTGTTACGGGGTCCTAATGGTGCGCAGAATTGTCAGGAAGGCTTGAGAATAGATCTCGTTGAACTTTCAGGAACAAGGGACAATATCAAGTGTTGTTCTTCAGACCTGGGCCTCAAAAAGAACTGCCTTTTCAATCAGGAAAATCTTTGCCAGTCTAGGAAGCTGTTGGCTCTGCTTCCAACTGCAGAAGCTTGTCTTCCTCTGCCGCAGTTAGAGGCCAAAATGATGAGAACACTCCACAGAAAATCACTTGCAGCCTTTGCCAGTGAAAGCAGAAATGACAGCTTTCGCCTCTACCTTCCAAAACTCAAGCCATTAGCAGAATCCAACTCACATCTCAAAATCTGGACCTACAGGAGCCTCGGGCATGTAGCTGGTAACTTCCCTGTGTCTGCAGTGTGGGGCTTACATGCACAGGAGGCTGGGATGGGTCCTGAACACCACAGACATCTATATCACTCGCTTTTGCCAAGATTCCTTCCCAGGCACACCCACTACCAAAGCTGCGTGGTGTCACACTTTTTTTTTTTTGAGATGGAGTCTTGTTCTGTCACCCACACTGGAGTGCAGTGGCACGATCTCGGCTCACTGCAACCTCCACCACCCAGGTTGAAGCGATTCTCCTGCCTCAACCTCCCAAGTAGCTGGGATTACAGACACCCACCACCATGCCTGTCTAATTTTTTTGTATTTTTCGTAGAGATGGGATTTCACCATGTTGGCCAGGCTAGTCTCAAACTGAACTCAGGTGATCCATCTACCTCGGCCTCCCAAAGTGCTGGGATTACAGGCATGAGCCACCATGCCCAGCCATGGTATCACACTTTATATAACACCTCATGATTTTAATTTTGCATTTCTTTTTTTTCTTTTTTTTTAGAGAAAAAAAAAAAAAGAAGTCCTGCTCTGTTGCCCAGACTGGAGTGCAGTGTTCTGACCATAGCTCATGGCATCCTTGACCTCCTGGGCTCAAGCAGTCCTCCCATCTCAGCCTCCTGAGCAGCTAGGACCACAGTTATGCACCACCTCTCCCAGCTAATTTTTAAAAGTCTTGTAGAGATCTCACTTTTGTAGGGGTCTCACTGTGTTGGCCAGGCTGGTCCCAAACGCAGGCCTTAAGCAATCCTTTCACCTTGGCCTCTTTAAGCCACCACACCTGACCTTGCATTTCTTAAGAATCAGATTGAATAGCTGGGCGTGGTGGTGCACACCTGTAGTCCCAGCTACTAGGGAGGCTGAGGCAGGAGAATTGCTTGAACCCAGGAGTCGGAGATTGCAGTGAGCCGAGATCACACCACTGCACTACAGCCAGGGTAACAGCGTGAGACTCCGTCTCAAAAAAAAAAAAAAAAAGGAGAATGAAGATTTTGAGATCTGTTTATTGGCCATTATAGCCGGGCTCACTCCTGCGTCCAGTCAGCCAGTGGCTTGCTAAGCTGGTATAGGATGGCCTTGGCTGGACCAAGCTGGCTCTGCTCCCCACGGTTTCTCCGTCAGGCTAGGCCAGGCTAATTTTCATAACAGTGGCAGGGATTCAAGAGAGGAAAGAAACTTGAATGTGTTTCCAATCTCAGCTCTGTTTGTGTAGATGCTCCCATCCCATTGGCCAAAGCAAGGCATGGCCGTGTCCAGAATTATTGTAGGAGGGCAGAACTCACAGCCTGGACACAGAGGCCACTGATGGGCCATTAATGAAACCAGTTCTTGCTTTATCTTTTGATCATTGCATTGTCTTGTTGATTTGTAAGAGTCCTTTTTATAATTAATTAGCTCGACACATAATTTCAAATGATGACAAAATTTGGGTCATACATTTATAAGTGAAAAAAAACAGACTACAGCACAGCAGAAATAATCTCCTATTAGAGCTCCTTTAAAAAGAAAAGCTCTTTTGAGCAGATACAGGCATACACAGGCACTCACTAAATGCTGGGAGTGGGATGGCACAGATTCTTTGGATATGATAGGGTGTTTCTGTTTAGGTTACAGTATGTGGGAACTTTAAAGAACTCTCGGAGTTCTAGAGCTTCCACCTGTGCCAGCCTACAATATGCATCGTCTTTATTTTTCCCAATGTTGCTGAAAATCCACAACTCGCTGAAAGGGAAACGAGCGCAAAAGATGGAACAAAACCCAGCTTGTGGCTCGTCCTGCCTTGAACACACAGCTCCGGGTCTACCACAGCCTCTCCTCTCTTCAGCTGATGCAGACTTAGGTAATTCCATTTTGTGATTTAATATTAGATGGAGGTCAGGCGGCTTATGCCTGTAATCTCAGCACTTGGGGAGGCCGAGGCTGGAGGATGGCTTAGCCCAGGAGTTCACAGCTGCAGTGAGCTATGATTGCACCACTGCACTCCGGCCTAGGTGACTGTCTCAAAATAAAGACCAAAAAATAATGGACTAAACCAAAGTTTATTTTCTTTCCCACATAAGAGTCTGGGCATAGCCAACTGCAGATGAGCTCAGCTGGCCCCAGGTGTCAGTCACCCAGGCTTCTTCTCCTGCTTGTTCTGCTGTCCTGAGTAGTTGCCGTCTTCCATGTGGTCCAAGATTGCTCCCCAACCTGTGGAGGGGAAGAAGAATGAAGGGGAGGACCAGGTATAGCTGGCTCATGGCTGTATTGCCAGCACTCTGGGAGGCCGAGGCAGGTGGATCACTTGAGGCTAGGAGTTCAAGTCCAGCCTGGCCAACATGGTGAAACCCTGTCTCTACTAAAAATACAAAAATTAGCCAGGTGTGGTGGCACACACCTGTACTCCCAGCTACTTGGAAGGTTGAGGAAGGAGAATCCCCTGAACCCGGGAGGCAGAGGTTGCAGTGAGCTAAGATCGCGCCCCTACATTTCAGCCTGGGAGACAGAGTGAGACTCTGTCAAAAAAAAAAAAAAAAAGTGAAGGGGAGGCCATGCATGCCCCTTTTTTTTTTCAGAAGGCACATAGATCATTTCTGTTCATATCCTATTGATCAGAGATCCCACACATGACTGCTAGAAGAAAATAGAAATTTGGGAACAGTTCAGGGGTTTGCCATATGCCCTTATCAGAGGTGCCTTGATTGAGACTGGGGACAAATACCTGTGTAAGTCTTTGCCGCTCTCCTCACCCTCCCCCTAACACATACATACTCCTTAACCTTAGATTTTAAAGTCTTAGAGACCAGAAAGCAAAACTTATTTGTAGACATGGAGTTGTAAGGGACGTGAGAGCAATCTGTGAAGATGGCATTCGGAGCAGAGAACAAGGTCCCATAGCCATGTAGGGTGTTAGTCCCCCGCAGCGATGCTCCAAGTGACCTCATGCAGGTCACACTCCCTGCCTCTCAGGGTCCTGGTAAACAATGGGCAAAATGGCACCTCCTTCCCAGGTTTACTGTGAAGATAACTTGAGTTGGTGTGTGTCAGATCCTGGGGTCCAGGTCCAGCCCATGCTGAAGTCCGAGGGGAGTGGGTAGATGAACAGAAACACTGGTGGGTAAAGGCCGTAGGCAGGTGAATATGGTTTTATTCAGTAGCAGCTCTCATCAACAGCTTTTTATTAGCAGCTTACTCACATTAGCTCTCTCACACTGTCCACTTTTATCTGGCTGTCTGCTTCGGCTCTGTGGCTTCTGCGACCTCCACGTCTGCAGCTGCACAGCCGGCTCTCCCTTACCTTCAGAGACAACAGCTTAACTGTCTCTGGCACAAGCAAGCCATGCTGTGTCCAGGCTCCCACCTGTCTGTCTACAAGATGGACGGCTTAGGCTGTCTCTCTTCCTCCGGGCACCAGCGCACCCACCACATCAAGCCATGTTGAGCCGAGCCCCAAGGGCACCTGTACAGTGTCAGCAGGGCAGTTATACCTTTTACAAACAATAGTGGCTCAGAGCCAAATGTGAATCTACACAGACAAGTTATATAACAAGTGGAGGTGCCTATGTGCCAAACTCGCTGAGTCATGCAGGCCTGGATCTCTGCCTCGGCCTATACCTTGACCAAAGCACATCCGTGTAACTTACAGTGTGCCTGACGCTTGGTCCAGCACAGGCACCCAACGCGCATGAGCCATTGTTAGCATTAGTAACAGAGGCACCAGGTGAGCCTCTTTGGCTTAATGGGAGAGTCATCAAAGGTGAATGAAAATCATCAAGTTAGCAGCAGCCCAAGACCAAGAGGAAGGACTGAACTGAAGAAGGCAGTGAGAACATTTATAGCCCTTGTTCCTAGTGCTCTCTTTCTCCTGCCCTCCCTGGGGACGTATGTCCTTAGCCCTTGGGTGTCTCTATTGTCTTTATCAAAAAGAAAACTAGATTTCAGTCTTCATTCATGCTAAGGTGCTAATCAAAAAATTTCAAATTTTTTACCAATCCCTGAGTTCTCTGTATTTTTTTTTTTGGAGACAGAATTTCACTGTCACGCTGGAGTGCAGGGGTGTGATCTCAGCTCAATGCTCTGAATCCTGGGCTCAAGTGATACTCCTACCTGAGCCTCCCAAGTAACTGGGACCATAGGCATACATCACCACACCCAGCTAATTCTTTTGTGTGTATGTATTTTTTTGAGTAGAGACAGGGTTTCACCATGTTGCCCAGGCTGGTCTCGAACTCCTGGGCTCAAGTGATCTGCCCACTTCAGCCTCCAAAGTACTGGGATTACAGGCATAACCCATCATGCCCAGCCAACTATCTGCATTTTAACAAAAATCAAATTATTAAACCGAAAGACTGAAGCTCTCAAGATTAAATGCATGCATCATTAAAAACATAAAGAAGGCTGGATGCGGTGGCTCATGCCTGTAATCCCAGCACTTTGGGAGGCAGTCGGATCACGAGGTCAAAAGTTCGAGAATAGCCTGACCAACATGGTGAAACCCCGTCTCTACTAAAAATGCAAAAAAAATTAGCCGGGCATGGTGGCACACGCCTGTAATCCCAGCTATTTTGGAGGCTCAGGCAGGGGAATTGCTTGAACTAGGGAGGTGGCAGTTGCAGTGAGCTGAGATCACGCCACTGCACTCCAGCCTGGTGACAGTGCGAGACTCGGTCTCAAAAAATAAAAATTAAAAAAAAATAAGTAGGCCGGGCGCGGTGGCTCACGCCTGTAATCCCAGCACTTTGGGAGGCGGGTGGATCACGAGGTCAAGAGATCGAGACCATCCTGGTCAACATGGTGAAACCCCGTCTCTACTAAAAATACAAAAAATTAGCTGGGCATGGTGGCGCGTGCCTGTAATCCCAGCTACTGAGGAGGTTGAGGCAGGAGAATTGCCTGAACCCAGGAGGCGGAGGTTGCAGTGAGCCGAGATCGCACCATTGCACTCCAGCCTGGGTAACAAGAGTGATACTCCGTCTCAAAAAAAAAAATAAGTAAACATAAAGAAATATTTTCAAAAATGTATTCTATCTGGGCCTTCCTCTGTATCTTTATTATTTATTTATTTATTTTTTTTGAGACAGAGTCTCCTTCTGTTGCCCAGGCTGGAGTGCAGTGGCACAACCTCAGCTCACTGTGACCTCTGCCTCCTGGGTTCAAGCCATTCTCATGTCTCAGCCTCCTGAGTAGCTGGGATTACAGGTGCCTTATGCCTGCCACCACACCCAGCTAATTTTTGTATTTTTAGTAGAGACAGGGTCTCACCATTTGGACAGGCTTGTCTCAAACTGGCCTCAAGCGTTCCACCCGCCTCAGCCTCCAAAGTATTGGGATTACAGGTGTGAGCCACTGTGGCTGGTCTGTTTCTTTAAGACATTTTCTGTCCCATTCATGACTACATCTTGTTAATTCAGCATCTCAAATAGTTCCACATTCTCCAAGCCCACAATTGTCACCAGGCAAGCTCCAGCCAGTGTCCCCTTTTTGCAGGTATTGTGGCTGCACAGCAAATCACCCCCAAATGTGGCCTTGTAAAGCAGTCCTTTGTTATGCTCATGGAGGCTGTGTATAAGAATTCAGACAGGGTCCAGCACGGATGGCTCGTCCCTGCTCCCAGGGACTGGAGATTGCAGCTGGAAGATTTGAAGACTGAAATCACTCATGTCTACCAGATGATGCTGGCTGGCGACCTCAGTTCCTCCTCACATGGGCTTCTCCCTGGGTCTCTGCATATGGGCTGGTGTGAGCTGAGAGAGAGAGAGGGATGGAGTGCCAGGCAATCATTGCCTAGTTCTTTTTTTTTTTTTTTTTTTGAGACAGGGTCTCACTCTGTTGCCCAGGCTGGAGTGCAATGGCACAATCTCAGCTTACTGCTACCTCTGCCTCCCTGGTTCAAGCAGTTCTCTTGCCTGAGCCTCCCGAGTAGCTGGAACTACAGGTGGGTGCCACCACGCCCAGCTCATTTTTTTTGTATTTTTAGTAGAGATGGGTTTCGCTATATTGCCCAGGCTGGTCTCAAACTCCTGACCTCGTGATACGCCCAACTTGGCCTCCCAAAGTGCTAGGATTACAGGCGTGAGCCACCATGCCCAGCCTCTTAGCCTCACAGTCTAGCTTTGAAAGTTATACAGCATATAGTTCCATAGTATAGTGGTTATCACATCTGCTTTACATGCGGAAGGTCCTCCTGGGTTCGACTTTTAGTGGAACCACAGTGTGGTTTATTGTTTCCCTGTCCAGGTGCAGTGGCTCACACCTGTAATCCCAGCACTTTGGGAGCATTGCACTCCAGCCTGGACAACAAGTAAAACATCTCAAAAAAAAAAAAAAAAGTCAGTCACACAGCATCGCTTTACCACATCCATTTGTCAAGGCGGACAAAAAGTCTCACCCAGGTTCAAGGGGAGGGAAGTAGACTCTACCTCTTGATGGGAGTGATAAGGTTCTGGAAGAACAGGTGGGACTAGAAATGTGGAGCACCTTCCAGACATGGGCTCTGCCATGTTTCCCTTCCCTGAATTACTGAGAATGGCCTCATCACTGGCCTTGCTACTTCCTTTTTTTTTTTTTTTCTTGAGATGGAGTCTCACTCTGTTGCCAGGCTGGAGTGCAGTGGCGAAATCTCAGTTCACTGCAACCTCTGCCTCCCAGGTTCAAGACATTCTCCTGCCTCAGCCTCCCAGGTAGCTGAACTACAGGCGCCCACCACCATGCCTGGCTAATTTTTGTATTTTTTTTTGTAGAGGTGGGATCACAGTTTTGGCCAGGCTGGTCTCAAACTCCTAACCTCAAATGATCCCCCCACCTTGGCCTCCAAAAGTGCTGGAATTATAGGCGTGAGCCACCACACCTGGCCTACTTCCACCTTTGTATTCAGTTCCTGCTCTCGCAGAGCAGCCTGGGAAAGCCCGAAACAGACAAGCTTGTGCCCCTCCCTGCCTCCTACTTCTCAGGATAGAAACCGCCGAGGCAGCGCGGGGACAGCCCAGTCCCTCGCTAGAGACGCCTCTCAGCCTTTCTCACAGCCCAGGCCTCCTTTCAGTTCCTCAAAGAAAACAGACCAACCCGATTTCCTTCCACCTCAGTGTCTTCCTGGAAATTTCTTTTCTCGACTTGTCATGAGGTTGACTCCTGTTTGCCCCTCTCGACCCAGCCTGAATGTCTCTCCCTAGACAGGCGCCGTAGCCGATCCCACTCTAAAAGCTCTTCCTGAAATCTTGTCACTTGTGCCAACATGGATGAAGCTGCAGGACCTGATATTAGGTGAGGCGAGCCAGGTACGGACAGACAAACACTGTAAGACTCACTCATATGTGGCATCTAACAACAGCAAACCTGGCATGACACAGTGACTCACGCCTGTAATGCCAGCACTTTGGGAGGCTGAGGCAGGCGGATCACCGAAGGTCAGGAGTTTGAGACCAGGCTGGCCAAATGGAGAAACCCTGCCTCTACTAAAAATACAAAAATTAGCTGAGCTAATTACACCTATAATCCCAGCTACTCAGGAGGCAGTGAGCCAAGATTGCACCATTCACTCCAGCCTGGGTGACGAGAGTGAAACTGTCTCAAAAATAAAGAAAGAAAAATTTTAAATAAATATATATTTTTAAAATAATAAAATAAAAACAGCAAACCCATAGAAGCAGAGAATTGAATGGAGGTCACCAGGGCTGGAGGGTGGGGAGAAAAGGGAGATGTCAATCAAAGGGTATGTGTTTTCAGCTATGTGAGGTGAGTACGTGCTAGAGACCGGCTGCACAGCTCGGAGCCGGTGCTTAATGCGGCATGGGAGTTTGCTATACTTAGAAGTTTGCTAACATGGTAGCTCTCCTGTTAAGGGTTTGTCTTAGTCCATTAAGGCTGCTATAACAAAATACCATAAACTGGGTGTAAACCAAGAATCGGCCTGGCACGGTGGCTCACCCCTGTAATCCCAGCACTTTGGGAGCCTGAAGTGGGCGGATCACCTGAGATTGGGAGTTCGAGACCAGCCTGACCAACATGGAGAAAACTCGTCTCTACTGAAAATACAAAATTAGGCAGGCATGGTGGCACCTGCCTGTAATCCCAGCTACTTGGGAGGCTGAGACAGGAGAATCACTTGAACCCAGGAGGCAGAGGTTGCAGTGGGCCAAAATCGCACCATTGCATGCCACCCTGGGCAACAAGAGTGAAACTCCGTCACAAAAAACAAAAACAACAAAACACAGAATCTTATTTCCCACAGGTCTGGAGGCTGGGAACTCCGAGAGGAATATGTTGGCACATTTGGTGTCTGTTGCGGGCTTGCTTACTGGTTCACTGAAGGTGCCTTCTCACTGCGTCCTCACATGGTACAAAGGGCAAGGGAGCCCTCTCTGGCCTGTCTTATAAGAATACTAACCCCGGCCAGCCTTGATGGCTTACGCCTGTACTCCCAGCACTATGGGAGGTCAAGGCAGGTGGATCACCTAAGGTCAGGAGTTCGAGACCAGTCTGGCCAACATGATGAAACCCCATCTCTACTAAAAATACAAAA